CCTCCTGAGCCTCGTCCGCATCCTGGCGAGCGCCCTGGCCGAGGCCGCGGCCTTCCAGGCCACCAGGCACTCGACGGCCAGGACGAGCAGCGGCACCGCGAGCGCGCACGCGTACGAGGCCAGCACCCAGCGCACGTGCTCCAGCGTCACCTGCACGCCGGAGGTGACCGTGTTGCTGGTGTCCTGGCCCGCCGTCGCGCCGGCGCTCTGCACCGCCAGACCGTCCAGGTACTGCTTCTCCAGCCTGTCCAGCACGCCCGTGGCTCGGCACCGGGTGATCCTGGAGGATACTCACACATGTTATCATTTAGTATGGGTGCGCATAGGATGACTCACGGTGTTCTGTCTTCTTTTTTTTTTCGTAGTTGAACTACACACACAACCGTCACGAACCATTTGTCGTCTTTGAGGCCCTGAGCGAGTAGGCAACTCAACCACGCGTCTGCATGCGGTACCTTGTTGCTGTTGCTATGCTGTACCGTATTCCTACGTGCGGGCGGGTTGCCTATTCGCTAGGGTCGAAGAGTGCTGTGGTCAGGGGCGTTAGGCAAGCCGCACTCCTGCGTGCGGTACTGTAGTAAAACTACAGAAGTGCGCGGGGTTTCTCAGGGCACAGTATAGCTACAAAATAGGTCGGGGTCCGTAGGCCACCTTGGATATGCAATGAGACTACCAGACTACCAGACTTCCAGGGCGTGCACTTTAATTCTCTTATCCGGGCCCTGTGGACACGCCCCGGGGACGCACATGTAGTCGATGGCCTGCACGTAGGGGAAGCCCGGGCGCAAGAGCAGCGAGGCGGAGGCGCGCTGCATGCGCGTCTTGACGCGCAGCACGTCGCCCTGGCACTCGGGCCTGGCGTCCAGGGCGGCCGCCATCACGCTCGGGATCTCCAGCACGACGGCCTCGGTGTGCTCGCACAGCGCCTCGGCCAGGCGCGCCGCCTGCGACACGTCGCGGCACACGCCCCTGTTGAGCACGCGCCGCCACTGGGCGCTGCGCTGGAGGGGAGCGGGCACAGCAGGCGTTAGAGTGAGGGGGGGCATGGAATATCTAGAATATTTGTGGAATATTTGTGGGATATCTAGAATACTTTTCGAACATCTGGAATACTTTTGGAATACCTTGAATAATTTTGGAATAACTGGAATACCTTTGGAATACCTTGAATAATTTTGGAATAACTGGAATACTTTTGGAATAACTGGAATACTTCTCGAAAATCTGGTATACTTTTTTTGAATATCTGGAATACTTTTTGAATATCTGGAATACTTTTGGAATATCTGGAATACTTTTGGAATTTCTGGAATACTTTTGGGATGTCTGGAATATTTTCGGAACATTTCTCAGTGTGTGCATGGAATAATATCCAAGTGGTCCACCCTTCGCGTGCCGACGGCCTCGCCCTTCCTCACCTTGAGCAGGCTGAAGTAGGCGTAGCTCTCGTTCCGCACGCACAGGGTGTGCGTGCCCTTGCGCTCCACGTCGTCCAGGCTGCCGAAGGGCGCCGTGTAGTGGCCCGAGGCCAGGTGGCTGATGAGCACGGCGGCGTACGAGTTGTACAGCAGGTAGCCGAAGAAGAGCGTGGTGACGACCGTGACGCGCACCGACAGGCAGCTGGGGCTCTCCTGCCAGCCCTGGGAGCAGAGGCCGCCGAGCACGGACAGGAAGCAGCTGCCCAGCGAGGCCGTGTGCGGCAGGACGGTCATGTCCGGGGCGAGTGTGTGCGGCAGGACGCCGGGCGGCATGCCCAGGGCGGCGCGCAGCCACAGCATGGCGCGCAGCACCAGGCACAGCACCACGAGCGCCAGCCCCGTCAGGGCCCACATGGTGGGCGTCATGGCGCGCACGTACGAGTCGGCCGACACCTCCGGCAGGCCCTTGCGGGCGAACAGCTCGTACCTGCGTGACCAGCAAGGTCACCGGGTCAGGGTTGGGGTCAACGGGCCAAAGGTAGCGTTCTCATTCGGGTACCCGCTCGGTTACTCGCGCGCGTCCGAAAACGACAGGTGCAAGGGAGACGGATCGAGCAGCCCACTCGCACATGACGCTCCAGGACGTGCCCCAGACCCTAGGGCACCTGCAGGGCCCGCACCAGTGCGTGACCACGGGCTGCGTGTGGTCGAAGACGTCGTCCTCGTCGGTGGTGACGACGGTGGCGCTGAGGTACACGTCGGCCGTCCCCCGCTGCAGCATGCTGCGCGCGCCGTTGCCGTTGACGCGCACGAACACGCTCCTGGGGCAAATACAGGTGGTGCCTAGACTTGTAAGGGCCGGGCTGGCACGAGCCGTGAACCTCGTGAATACCTCTACCGCCTTATACCTGAAACCCAAGGTGGTCTGCAGGACCGTCCACAGCTCTCCCAGGTAGCCCGTGAGCACCAGCCGGTCCCCGCGCCGCTCGAACGTCACGTAGGGGATGAGCTGCGGAAGAGAACACAAGACGTGGAAAGCGGTGTGGTCGAAGCTCCCAGTGAAGCCCGTGGCCTTCCCTTCGCCTCGCTCACCGTGTCGTACGCCACCGTCAGCACCTGGCCCGAGATCTCGTTGAAGGCGTTGGTGTAGGCGTCGCCGGCGTGCGAGGCGTTGCTCCACCGGCGGACGCACGCGTCACCTAGGGGCATCGCCAGGGTCAGGCAGGCCCTCTCGGCGAAGGTTTGCGCCACCACGCCGAAGGTACGGGTGCATTTTAGATGGGCCAAATTTAATAACCCACCGTAATGATTTCGCGTGGAATAGTTTTATTGGCCCATTCCTTCAGGCTGGTAGCTTGTTAGCTAAAGCCGTGAGCGAGCCCCCTGCCCCAGTCAGAACCGTACCTGCGCCCCTGCAGACGATCACCTCTCCGGAGGCCATACCGCCGGTGGCCGCTTCAATGCCCTGGTGTCGAGCCGCCCCCTTCTGGTGACGGACGGGAAAGAACTTTCTCCAGTGTTATCTCTCCAGCGTTATCGAGGCCGTCCCCGAGTCGCACTAGTAACGAGTCCGGTCGATGCGGTAGGCCACCTGGAGATAAGGTATCTGCGGGACCCGCCCTCCCTCAGCCAATCAGAGCGCGAGGGGTGGAATGAATGAGACCAGCTGCGTGAGGGACTTTAATATTTAATGCGATTGGCACTTCGAAAGGAGCTGAGAACAGGATGGCAGTGCAGCGGCGGATACTGGTTTTGCATCCGTGACTATTTACAGTGTGATAAATTACTTAATGTGGGTTTCTTGGCCGTATGACGACAAGCTCCAGTGTGGCGTTCAGTTGCTACCCCTTCTCTCCGACTCGTTCAGTGTACGCTGCGACAAAGGAGGAGGAGCGTTAAGTAGTTGGTACGATCTAGCAATCAAAACAAAACCTGAATTGTTTGCAGTGTTCGGCACCTGGAGGTCCACCTGCAACAGGGCCATCTGCGCGGCGTCGTCCTGCGCGCTCTGCGCCTTGGCCTTCTGGGGCATGAAGCGGCGCACCGCGGGTGCGAGGAGCCTCGGGTCCACGTCGCGCAGGTCGTTGCGCCAGCCGGCCAGGGCGGCGGCCGAGGCCACGAGCAGGCCGAAGGTGATGGCGACCGGCTGGTACCACAAGTAGGAGATGCGCCACAGCCACAGCACGTCGGAGCTGCGAGAGGAGCGGGAGGAGTCAAGGACGGGCTACTCGTGCACAGACCGTGGCCGGGGGCTGGACGTACTCGTCGTGCTCCTGGAGGTGCGGCAGCGTGAAGTTGGTCCCGGGCGGCAGGTCGCAGCCGTCGATGGAGACGGGCTTGGGCATGACGTGGATCCTGCCGGTGGCGATGGCGGTCTGTGCGCCGATCACGATGAAGCCCACCAGCGAGGCGGAGCACAGCGCGCCCAGCATCGCGCCGCGGCCGTTGACGTGCGGCAGGAACAGGCCCGCCGCGAACATGGTGGCCTGCGGGGCGGCCGCCATGGCCGAGGCGCTCACGTTGAGCTGCACCACCATGCCGAGGTGCTCGACGACGAACATGAGCGCGAGGTTGACGAGCCCCGTGGCCACCACGACCCCCCGCAGCAGCCAGCGGGTCTGGCGCTCGGTGGGCGTCCAGCCGAACATGGAGCGTACCAGGTCCTCCAGCGCCACCGCGGCGATCGAGTTGAAGCCGGTGGAGAGCGAGCTCATAGCCGCGCTGCGGCAGGAGGCGCCGTCAACGTCAACGCGACATCAACAACACGAACAGCATACAAGTTCGAGCGAGGGTCGACTCGCGGTACCTGAACACGCCCGCGATGAACATGCCGGTGAGCCCGGGTATGTCCGAGAGCACGTCCAGGACGAACAGGGGGATGATCTGGTCCTTGGCGCTGACCACGCCGATGGTGATGGGGTCGCAGTCGTAGTAGTAGGCGGCCGCCACGAACCCGCAGAAGCAGGCGGTGAAGTTGAGCATGAAGGTGCACACCATTAGGATGGCCGTGGCCTTGTAGCAGGCGCCCATGCTGGGCAGCGCCATGTACCTCTGGATGATGCTCTGGCTCAGCGCCAGGTCCGCCGTGTGCCGCACCACGCCGCCCAGGATCAGCGCTACGAACGTGTGCCGCGTCGTAGGGTCCAGGTCGAACCTGCGGGAGTGGTGCTGAAGTGAGCTGTTCGACGGAGGGCGCAGGGCGGGCAGTCCGCAGGCCGGTACTCACGAGGGCGCCTCCAGCCGGCCGCTGTTGACGTTTCTCTCCCAGACGACGCCGAAGCCGCCCACCTCCACAACGCCCTTGAGCGCCACCATGACGATGCAGCCCAGCATCATGATCGCCTGGAAGGCGTCCGTCCAGATCACGGCCTTCACCCCGCCCTGGAGAAGCACGAAGTGACACGAGGTGTGGGCACGAGACGCAGGCCTACTAGGCAACCCCTTCTCACGCGTGTTTCAATGTTGCCTAGTAGGCAGGGGAGTAGATGCAGAAAAGCTCCACACATATGTGTTTGGGCTACTTATTGCCTACTATTCTGGCAACCCTGGCCGTAGCCCGTTCTTTTCCTTGGGTCACGAAGCACTAGAGGACCAACAGAACGCAACCCCGCGGTCACCTGCGCGAGTCGCGATGTGTTGCGGCACTGCCTACTTTACACCAAGAACATCGGGGCAAGTGAGTCACCCAAAGTCTGTTCGCTCCCCATTGATGGGGTGATTCCCCGCCGGTTCTCTCCCCCTGCCCTCTCCCCGCCCACTCACCACGGTCGTGTAGTAGATGCAGACCAAGCACACCACGGGGCCGACGATGTGCAGGTCGACCTTGGTCACTGCAGGGACAGGTCAAAGAGTTGGAGGGTGAACTCAGATTATTGCGGTTCCCGCCCCACCACACGGCATCGAGCTTATGCTTTGTTAGGCTGCCGGCGCTCACCTTGCTCGAAGGCCAGGGCTGGGATGTACATGACTATGGGCAGCCATACGATCTGCAAACACAGGCGACATCCTCATCAGACAGGGCATCGTCTACCGACAAATATTGCTCCCGATTTTTTTTACGTTGAAACTTCGAAAGTTCCTCGCATGACACGCGCTGTGCCGAGGTCTTTCTTATCTGTGCTGCTTCTGCACGATCTTATATCAAAGCAGACACCTCTGTCTGGCGGGAAACTGTCCTACAACTCTGGAAACAGTCTCTGTTTGAACGAGACTTACCGCGCTTATCTCCCACCACTGGCGGGACGAACTCCACGAAAATTGTACATAAAATGAAGGCTTTTGTTATAGTTGAGCCCGGCCTTCCTTCATGGACGTATTGTTTGATTCACGCACCTGGCTTACGAGGAAGAGAAAACTGGCGATGAATCGACAATTCCTGTTGAAACGTCTGTCGAGGTACTGAAACGAAATTCATAAAAAGGTCGAGAAATGAAATGTCGTTATATTTCGGTGTGGAAAGTAAATCGCCGCCCGATTGGTCGATGGCAGTTTGAGCTGCGTTGGTGGCCGAGGCCCGGTACAGGTGCGCACCTCGTAGAGGGACAGCCCTTTCAGCTCCCTGAAGACGGGCAGCATCTGGTAGGCGAGGAAGAAGCCCGTGAGCGGGTAGGACAGCATGTTGTACACGACCTGGCCGCCGTTGACGTACACCTCGGCGGGGTACCCGAGCAGCGCGATGCCGGAGATGAAGCTGCGGCACACGGATGCACAGCGCCGACCAGGTCAAGATCGTACCGGCGGAGGTGCTGTCTCCTCTCTTGTCTCACCTGGCGAAGAGGGACAGCGCGACGGGCACCATGCTCATGGTGCGTCCGCCCACCAGGTAGTCCGCCTCGGAGTCGTTGGCGCCCTTCACGAAGTACGCGAAGTACACGCCGATGGCCGTGGACACGGCCAGCATGCAGGCGAAGACGGCTATGTCCACCCAGCCCATGACGTGCAGCTCGGCGGGCGCGGCCGTGCTCGCCGGCAGCTCCGTCCAGGACGTCGTCGTCGTCGTCATCGTCGCCATGGCCTCGGTGAGCGCGCTCGTGACGGTGGCCGTCGTGGCCGCAGCCACCGTGGTCGCGGCCTCCATGGTCGTGTGCTCCGCGCGCAGCAGCTCTCGGCGCTCTGACGTGGACCTGACGGCTGTGGTGACTACCCTTCCCGACGGCGTCCCCGAGCACCGCGACGCCAGCACAGGTGCCGCGGCGGGGAAAGGGGGGGGGGGCGTTGACTCGAGCAGCCTAATCTGAGCGCCACAAAGTTTGGAGCCGGAAGAACTGGTGGGAACTGGATGGGAACTTTTGTACTGACCTGGCGCAGCGATCACTTCGAAATGTACGCGCACTTTGATCGGACCCCTTTGTGAGTGTACACCAAAAAACACTCGCAAAACGTGAAGCAAAAAATCTTTACAGAAAACATCGGAAAAGTCCTTTTAAATATATTCTATAACCACCGACATAAACGATTACAATAAAAACTAATTTGAAGTGTTTTATTTCCCCTTTATTAATGACAAAGTATTTCAGAGTTAGGTTTCCTGACCTGCTGTTTTGCTGACCGCCGACC